GGGGGAGTGGAGCTGGGAAGGGCAAAGACTTAGTAGGGAATGGGAAGGGCCAGAGGAAAGGCTCCTGATCTCAGGTAGAGGTGAGGAGAATCTAAACGAGAGGCTAGAGTCTGCAGGAGAGGTGGGGGCTTCAACCCCCTAGAAGGTTTACCTTGTCCAAAGTGGCCACAAACAGCAAGATGAGGATGAGGATGTGAAGTGCTGAGACCACCAGCAGGAGCAGTGACATGGCTGCGATGGAAGCCTGGGGAGGAGTTCAGGATATGGGTGATCAAGACACTAGCCTGCTGGGTACTGGGACATAATGAAGGAGGGCTGGGGCCAGGAGGAGGGCTGGGGAATGGGACCTCTGTGTCTGAGGGAGGAGGGCTGGGGTAGGGGAACCCTGTGTCTGAGGGAGGAGGCCGGAGTCTATTTTCCTCAGGGCGGGATGTTGAATGAGCTCAGCTCCTAGGTGCTGGATGAGTGGCCAGGGTCTCCTCATTTCCCTCTTTCTGGAGTCATCCTGGCCAGCTGATCGGGAGCTAGGAGCTGCCCCCAGCTGCGGGCATCCTTGACTCACCCAGCCACCCCCCCCTGGCAGGGAGGGGGGGCTGGGTGAGTCATGGGATGAGTCATCTGCCCGGCCCCCTGCCTTGGAGGACGAGGGAAACCCCAGCCCCGGGCTCCATCCACGAGGGCCGCACCCCACCCTGCCGCCTGACCGGTGCCTTCTGGACAGTTGGGAGAATGGATGGATGAAACTGGGTGGGCAAAGGAGGCCTGAGCAGAAACCCAGCAGGGAGCTTCCTGGGTCTGGAGGTGCCTTCTCCTCCCTCCCCGATCTCGGGGGTGCCAAGGAAGGCATGGATGGGCAGCTTGCCTGTGGGTGTGGGGGAGCTCCGCTGGGACCCTCTCGCTGGATCCACCCTTTCCTGTATCCCCACACTCTCAGGGTTCAGAGATCACTACTACAATTTCTAGAAGTTTTACAGGGCTGGAGTGGGGGAGCGGGCAAGAAGAGGGGATCTTTCCCAGTCTAGGGGTGTCCTTTAACTACTGCTGGACTGTGCGAGGAAAGAAAGAAATCCCAGCCCAAATAACGGATCGGAAACTTACCGAGAGCAGCAAGGGGAGAAAAGTCAAGAGTTGGAGTCTCTTCCCTCCACCAGGGCCTCCTGCCCCGCCTTTCTCCTCCTCCCTCCGGCCCCCGCCTCCTCCTCCTCCGCTGCCTTTCTCTCCCCTCCTTCTCCCTCCCGCTCCTTTCCCTTTCTCTCTCTTCTTTTGCTCCTCGGGGCTTCTTTCTCTGCTTCTCTGAATATATACTGAAGCTTTTATACACACACGCCCAGGGGAGCTCTGCAGCCAGTAGGAGGGCCCAGTAGGAGGACTGGCTGGTTCCTCATTCTCTCCGGTCCCCACCCAGTGGCCCCTAGACAGGCATCTTCTGGGGCTGCCTCCTAGGGTGGAGAAGAGAAGTTCTGGCAGACACTAAAGGCAGGAGGGTCCTCTTGGGCTGGCCCCCCCCCCCCAGACCCCCCTCCTCCCTCAATCTCTGCGTCTCCTCCTGGGGACTGGGTATCTGTTTTCCACGAAGGAGTTTGGGATAGGGGGCAGGAGGCTAGGGGGGGAAGAGGGGGGCAGAGGATGGGAGGAAAAGTGTGAAACCCCCAAAGAGGGCAGAGGTGGAGATGGAGAATGCCAGTATCACCATTTCCTGGCCAAATGATTTTGGACCATTTTCCTTGGCTTCTCTGGGCCTCAGTTTCCTAATCTGTACAGTGGGTGTAATAATGCTGGGCATATACTGTCTATGAAGAAATCAGAGTTAGCGAAGGAGCTAATGGAACCGGAGTAATCAGGGAGGGCCTCTTGGAGGGGGTGGCACCTGAGAACCAGAGCCACTTGGGTGCTGGGGAGAAGAGGATGTGCGAGACAGTTGAGAACAAGACCTTGTTGTTTGGGGAGCAGACAGAGGGCCAGTGTGGCTGGTGTTTAGGGAGCCAGAGAGAGTTCCGGAGGGGGGGGGGGGAAATCAAAGGGTGTCCTTGAAGAATATGGGAGGAGTTTGGATTTTATTCTAAGTGCCAAGGGAAGCCATGGGAGAAACCTTTTTTTTTTTTTTTAACTTTGATTTTTGTTAGTCATGGGGCTTGAACTCAGGCCTTGGGCACTGTCCCTGAGCTTTTTTTTTTTTTTTTTTTGTGCAAGGCTAGAGCTCTATCATTTTGAGCCATAGACCCACATCTGGTTTTCTGGTGGTTAAGTGGAAATAAGAGTCTCGTGGACTTTCCTGCCTGGGCTGGCTTTGAACCCTGATCCTTAGATCTCAGCCTCCTGAGCAGCTAGGATTACAGGTGTGAGACACCAGCACCCAGCTGCTTTGGGAGAATCTTAACAGCTGTATAGTACCTGGGGTTTAATGTTAACTCTCAGGATTAATTTTGAGTTAGGGTGTGTGGGAGTCAGGACTACTATCCACCAGAGTTTTCTGAAGGAAGAAGATCAGGGTTCCTGGTAATTGAGAGCTAAGGAAGTGGGTGATGAGATGTGGAATGGAGTCAGAGCTTGATTGGGGAGGATTTGTCAGCTGGGTGAGGTGGGGTGGGGGGGTCTCTGTGGAGGTGAGGGATGAACAATTCAGTGACTGGGGTCACATGGGGGGTACTTACATAGCAGTCTTCAGGGCTAGGTCAGTAAGATTGAAATCCAAGCTGTTTTGGATTCAAATCCATTAGCTGAGTGGTTTTGGACAATTTCCTAAAAACCCTGCCACACCTAAGTCTCCTCATCAGTAAAATGAGGATACTATAATTGTAAGTGCATTATATAGTGTATTTATTTATTTGTTTGTTTATTTGTGCCGGCACTGAGGCTTGAACTCAATACCAGGGTGCTGTCCTTTACCTTTATCACTCAAAGCTGGTGCTTTACTCCTTGAGCCACAGCTCCACTTCCAGGTTTTTTTTTTTTTTTTGGTGATAAATTGGAGATTGGAGTCTCATGGACTTTCCCATCCTGGCTGGCTTCCAACCGCGATCCTCAGATCTCAGCCTCCAAGTAGTTTAGGATTACAGGTGTGAGCCACTGGTACCTGGTATAGAGCATAGTTCTTCATGTAGACCTTTGTATACAGGGGATCCCTCCCCCCACCTTGGTATGTGGGCCATCCAGGCCTTTCGTAGATTCAGGGGAACCTTGATCCACTATCTCTAAAAGTTGGGGAGAAGGATACATTCTTGGATCTATTGGAATCTAAACATTTGGAATCTAAACTGAGGTCGCTGGGGAAAGGGGGGTGAGGACCAAACCTTCAATTCCTGGGAAGCCCAGAGGACTGGGATCCTGAACCCCATTCTTGGGTCTGGGGCATGGTATCACGTGATCGATTGCTGGTAGGGGGGCTGCACCCCGGCCCTGGCAAGGAGATGGAAATGAGGCTGGGAACAACAGTGTCGCCCCACCAGCACGGTCCCCCCAGCTGGATCACGGGATTTTTTTTGGGGGGGTTCCTGCGAGGGAGGGGACCCCGACTGTTGGGGGCTCCATGGAAGGGCAGTGGGGGAAAGTCAGGGACGCGAGGGCGGTAGTGGGGATCTCCCCTTCTCGGGCCTCAGAGGAATGGAGCTGAGCTGAGCGTCCGCGGGCCGCTTCCTCCCACAGGAAACCGCAGGCGTCGGGCACACCCAGCCTGCAGGGAGCGGCGCCCACCGCCCGCCCCGGGAAGCCCCACGTGGGCAGCCACAGGCCGCGGAGGGGCGTGGCTCTCAGGGAGGAGCGTGGCGGCAGAGGGCGTGGCCACGCAGGCAGCAGCGCGCGGAACAGGCCACGCCCCTCCCGCTCTCAGGGCCCTGGAGCTGTTGGCAGCCTGTTGCAGGCCGTTGGCCGCGCATGCGTGGTAGGTCTCTTCGAGGCTTTCAGGCTGCGGTGAGCGCTCTGCCTCCAATTCCCGCCTCCTTCCTAAGGAATTATCTCCTAAAAACAACAAACGGTTTTTCTAGACGTTTTCCTCCAGGCACTTTCAGTTCCTGACTTTTCTTCCCACAAACTCGCAGACCGCTGCTCACAGGACGGGCTCCCCATACGAAGCCACTCGGCCTCCTACAGACCGCCTGGAGCACCCCATAGTAGTCCGTCCCTCACTCTTGTCATTGCAGCCAGGTGCGGTCTCCAGACCCCTGGTATTGTAACCACGCCCCAGAAGAAAACCACGCCCTCTATTGTAACCACGCCCCAGAAGAAAACCACGCCCTTAAGGTACGCGCCCAACTCCCCAAAGCCCCACCCTCTGTGGTGCCCGAGCCCCTCCCCTTTCCCTTCTGGCTCCGCCTCCACCCCCCCTCTCCACAGGTCCCCTCCTCACCCCACGCCTCATCGTTTACCATACCAGAGCCCCGCCCTCACCCCATACGGGTCCCTGGCCCTTGCCCTTGCTATTCTCACCGCCACGCCCCTAACAGTGCCACAGCCCCGCCCACACAGATCCCTGGCTCCTCCCTCCTCCCGGTCCCCACGGGACCGCCCTTTACAGTACCCGAGCCCCACCCTTGCCCCGCCCACACCAATCCATCAACACCTTGGCGAGTTCCCCCCTCCTGCCACTCCCACGGCCCCGCCCCTTATAGTGCCAGAGCCCTGCCCATACGGCTCCCTGGCACCTCCCCTCTCCACGCCTAGGCCCCGTCCCTTCACGCTTCTGGCCCCGCCCTCACACTCAGCCGGCTCAGTACTCGGGTTTTCTCTTGTCCCGCCCTTTGCAGTCTCTGGCCCCTCCCCTCCAGACACTTTACTCTCTCCCCTCGCGGGCTCCGGGAGCTGTAGGTGCAGGTGTCCCACCTCCGCAGCCCCAAAGCTCCGCCCCCTGATGATCTGTCACCCCCCCTTCTCTATTTCCCTTCCAATCCCACCTTCCCAGACCGCCCCAGCCACCCCAAATCCCCGCCCCCCTCCCCAGTGTCTCCCTGTTGGGTCTCCCCGCCCTCCCCTCTGTCCCTCCCCTCGGTGCCCTGGCCCCTCCCCGGCCACTGTCTTCGTCCTCATTGGTCCCTGATTCCCTGGAAACCAGACCACAACAGTGGCGGGGAGCCCCGTGGGCCGGTCAGCAGGTAGGGCAGGGGCCTCGCAGCTGCACCCCTCACTTCCCCCCCCCCCTCCCGCCCCCGAGATACAAGAACCGGTCCAGGGCTCTGAGGTCCGAGGTGGTTCCTCCAGCCTCTGGCAGGAATCCTGTCTCAGGGAGGGCCTCTTTCTTTAAATGACCGCCCCCCGCCCCCCTTCCGGAACCTGACCCTCCCGCATCTCTAAACCCTCCCGCGTCCCGGAACAGGGGCCCCCTTCTCCTTGGCCAAGATGCCCATAGGCCTCTCCGCGCGGAGCGTGCGCTCCGAGGAGGGCAGCGACGTCTTCCTGGAAGGACTGGGTGAGGAAGCCATCCATGCTCCCTTCCACGCACGCCGGCCTTCCAGGGCCTCAGTTTCTGTACGGAGCTGGGGAGGGGAGCGCCCCGGTGGCGGGGGTGGGGTGGGGTGGATGTGTCCCGGGGTCTCCCCCCCGCAGGCCGGGGAGTGGGCGGGGACGGAGGGAGCAGGCGCCTGCCCAAGCCGTCCAGGGCGCGCCCTCTCGTGGAGGGAAACAGGAACGTGCCCTGCCTGTGCTGGAACTCACGATGGGAGAAGCAGGAGGGGGAGCCGAGCTACGATGCCGACCTGGAGGGGACCGGAGGCTGGCTGGGCACTAGCAGCACCGTGCAAAACTCGAAAGGGAAGGAAGGGGCTGGTGGCCCTGAGTCGTGAGTGAGTGTCTGGCCCGGCTTGCCCCGCAGTGGAATGGGAGCTGAGCAGACTTCAACGACAGTGCAAAGTGATGGAGGGGGAAAGGCGGGCCTACAGCAAAGAAGTCCATCAGCGCATCAACAAGCAGCTGTGAGCCTAGACTTCTGAGGGGAGAGGGCGGGGGGAAGGGCAGGTGGAGGCCAGGGCCGGGGCTTTCAGCCAGGCTGAGCTCTGCTACCTTTCCCTGCTTGGGCAGCGAGGAGATCCAACACTTGGAAGAGTTGCGGGCCAAACTGCAGGTGAAGATCAGCGTGGCTCAGAGCCAGGTGAAGCGGCTGGGTGACAGCCAGCGGCTGGAGGACATGGACCGCCTGCTAAAATGCAGGACTCAGGTGCTGGCCGAGTTGGAGGACCTGCAGGAGCAGACCAAGGCCCTGGACAAGAAGGTGGGGCGATGGAATAAACTTCCCATATCTCAGCATCCTCATCTGAAAAAAAATTGCCCCGATTTACTTCTTCAATTTTCTGGGTTCTAGTTTCTTCATTTTAGTTTTTGAGATGCTGAGGATACAACCCAGGGTCGTTGTTTATTTTGTTTTTGCCAGTCCTGGGGCTTGAACTCAGGGCCCGAACACTGTCCCTGAATCTCTCTTTGCTCAAAGGTAGCATTCTACAGCTTGGGCCACAGTGTCACTTCTGGCTTTTTCTGTGTATGTGGTAGAGGAATCGAACCCAGGGCTTCATGCATGCTAGGCAAGCACTCTACCACTAAGACACACTCCCAGCCCAATTTTTTAGTGCCAGTCCTGAGGCTTGAACTCTGAACTTTGGCCCTAAGCTTTTTCATTCAAGGCTGGTGCTCAACCACTTGAGCCATAGCTCCAGGTCTAACATTTTGTTAGTTAGCTGGGGATAAGAGACTCATAGATTTAACTTCACTGGTTTTGATCTGTGGAGTTCAGCTCTCAGCCTCTTGAGTAGCCAGGATTACAAGCATGCCTTACAGGCACCTGGCTGCCATTCTGTCTAGTGCATGCTGGACAGGCCTCTGTCACTCCACCATGTCCCTTTGTTTATCTGTGAAAAGGGGGCTGATGGTCCAGAGAGGAGCTAAGATAGATCTTTCTATTTCCTTCCAGATCCGAGAGTGGGAGGTTCACCTACTCACCCAGAGTAAAGAGGTGATGGCCCCGGGATTCATCCTGGACTATAAGGTCAAGATGCGACGCAGGATCAAAATTCTGGAAGACCAGCTGGACAGGGTGAGCTGTGGGAGGCCTCTGAGTGTGCACAGGTGTTCCGTGTGTGAACTGAGTACCGGATGTGATGGAGAACTGAGGGGAGAATGGGGTCAGAGGACTGCAGGAGTTGGGGAAAAGGAGACTGGGGTGGGGTGCTGCTAGCTCCCAGGGTCCTTAGAGTGGGAACAGGGAAGTTTCCAGCTTCCTCTTCATCTCCCCCCCCCCCCCCCCAGGTCACCTGTCACTTTGACATCCACCTGATGAAGAATGCAACCCTGCGGGAGGAGCTGGACCTGCTGCGCATCGAGAGGGCCCGCTATCTGAACATGGACCGGAAGTTGAAGAAGGTGAGCAGGAGAGCAGGGCCCTTCGGTCCTCCCCATGCCTCCTCCCCTCCATCGTGCCCCACAACTAGTGAATTGTCCAGGGCTGCAGGGCTACATAAGAAAGCATTGGGGGTCACGTTGAGTGTTGTTAGCCAGGGCAACCAATGAGTAAGGGAGGTTGCTTAGATCTGGCTGTTGGGGAATCTTAGTTACTTTCAAAGGTCACTGAAAAGCCACTCCCCATCTTTCCCCTCTCTCAGGATCCTCTGGCCTCAGCCTCCTAAATGCTGGTATTATAGGAGGGACACCACCACACCTGGCTTTTTCCATCGATCATTACTTTTTCCAGCAGTCTTAGGAATTGGACTCAGGGTGTCAAGCTTACTAGCTAAGCTTGAGAGACACTGTCGCAATTCTAAACAGTTCCCACTTCCATTCCACTCACAGTCCCAATAACATCCTTTGTGGCTAATTAGATTTTCCTGCTCCAGGCTCCAGTCCAGGACCCCAGATTGCAATCGTCCTGGCTGTGTTTGCCTGGAATGGGGCCTGGCGCTTTGTCTCTGTGACCTTGGCATTTTGGAATCACACAGAGGGTGGTTTGCAGGAAGTCCCTCTGTGTGGGCTGAACTGCTCTCCCTCCCTCTCCTGTGTGCCCAGTGTCTTTGTGAGTTTCTCAGCAGCAGGCTTCTGATGTCACTTTGCCTCTAGTGACATCAGCTTTCATCACTAAGTTGATCGTTTGGAAGCCAGGCATGGTGGTGCTAATGCAGGGAGGTTCTCCTGGGCTGTGTAACTATACCATCTCTGTCCCATCCGTTAGTGCTTCTGGCCAGAATCGTTTGCACTGTGACAGTCACAGCAGAGCAGTGACTTGTCCACCCTCTCATCTCCTTATGCAGATTTGAGTGCTGTCCATGAGCACTTGGGATTCTTATTTTATTCCAAATAAACCACTCAGTGCTGTGTTCAAATCATCCCACCTTTGGCTCTTGGGCCCACTGCTTGGGCTCAGTTGGCCCTCTGCACAGGCTTGCATTTTTATTTTCTTCTTTTGAGCACTTTGTGTCCTGGCTATTGTGGGCTTGCTCAGTTCCAGCCCTACAATTAGCCACTTCCCTAGGGACTCTTGCTTTGCTGTAGTGGGGAGTAGGTGCTGGGAAAGATCCATCCCCCTAGAACCCTTCCTGCTACTGCTGTGTCATAGCATTGGGACTTCCTCCCGAGAGACCTAGGAAACCCATGAATAGATTGAAATAGAAACCATCTTTTACTGTTGGTATTGAATTCCAATTCAGCATCGTTCTGTCTTCCTTGATCTTTTCATTCTCTCCTCCTCTTCCTCCTTTCTCTTCCTCCCCCTCCTCCTCTTCCTCTTCCTCCTCCTCCTCCTCTTCCTCTTGCTGTACTTGGGTTTGAACTTGGCCTTGAGCTTGCTAGACAGGTGCTTTACCACCCAAGCCATGCCCCTAACTTTTGCTATAGTTTGTTTTCCACACAGGGTCTTGTGCTTTTGCCCTAGCCTGCCTCACACCTCCATCCTTCTACCTCCACCTCTTTGAGTAGCTGGGATTACAGGTGTGTACTGCCACACCTGTCAGGACTTCCACTTCTAAGCAGGGAAGTGGGACCTAAAGGAAAGAGTCAGTGGGAGCCATGCGGTTGTGGGGGTGCAGTACTTACTCCGTCTTCCTCCCTGACAGGAGATCCACCTCCTCAGGCAGATGGTCAGCGCCCTCATCGTCTCCTCCACCTCGGCCTACTCCGTCAGGTAGGGCCCAAGCCACAGGCTTGGAGGACGCAAGGACAATCCTTTTCAGTATCAGAAGGAGGAAGACTCGGGACTCACATCCTGGTCTTGTGTTCTGCCATGTGCCCTCCACTCTCTTCCCACTAATGACCCAGCTCGTGAAGCAATGCCTTTTACTGTATGTGCCAATACTGGGCTTAAATTCAGAGCTCTCTGCTCTCACTTGGTTTTATCGCTCAAGGCTGGTGCTCTGCCACTCGAGCCACACTTCCACTCCCGGCGTTTGGCTGGTTAATTGGAGCTCAGGGTCCGGTGGACCCCAGCTGAGCCTCCCATCCCCGGTGCAGGGAGGAGGCTAAGACCAAGATGGGCATGCTGCGGGAGCGCGCGGAGAAGGAGGTGGCCCAGAACGAGACGGAGGCGCAGATCCTGCGGCGGCAGATCTCGCACCTGGAGCAGCTGCACCGCTTCCTCAAGCTCAAGAACAATGAGCGGCAGCCGGATCCGGACGTGGTGCAGAAGCAGGAACAGCGAGGTGAGCCCCGGACCACGTGGATACGGGTGGGTGGGAGGGCGGGGCCTTACCCAGGCCGGGAAAGGGGTGGAGCCTCGACGAGGAGGGCGGGGCATGGCAAGAGAGGGCGGAGCCTGGTTTGGAGGGCGGAGCCAGGCAGGCAGAGCCTAGTGAATGAAGGGAAGGGTGGAGGACAGAAGAGGGCGGGGCTGGCAGGTGGGGGCGGGGCCTCACCAGTGGCAGGGGAAGGGGTGGAACCTGGGAGGGGAGGGCGGAGCATGAGAGGAGAGGGTGGAGCCTGGCGTGGGGGCGGAGCCTAACAGGAAGGGAGGGTGGAGGACAGGAAAGGGCGGGGCCTGGCAACCAATGGAGTGCTGGTGGTGGAGGGAGTTGAGCTGGGCAGGGCTGCTGGGGGTGGGCAGCAGGTGCCACAGGGGAGCTGCGGGAGCGCCCCTCCCCGCTGCCCCGGCATCTGCTGCATCTCCGGCCCCTCCCCCAGCCCGGGAAGTGGCCGAAGGACTGCGGAAAACCTCCCAAGAGAAGCTGGTGCTGCGCTACGAGGACGCCCTGAATAAACTGTCGCAGCTGACTGGCGAGAGCGACCCTGATCAGCTGGTGGAGAAGTACCTGGAGAGTGAGCCGGGCAGGAAGGGGGCGGCCCCTGGGCGGGCCTGGCCGGGGGGTGGGGCCACTATTGGCCCGGGGAATCCCCGTGTCCCCGTGGTCCTCATCCCAGGCGACCCCCGTCTGCCGTCCTGGCTCCTCCCCCTCTGCCCTCCTTCCCCCTGGATCTCCATCCCCCTTCTTCACACCTGCCCCCCACCTTCCTTTCCTCTTTGTTTCTTGGGGTTCTTGGTTCCGTCTTTCCTCTCTGGGTCTCTGTGGCTTTTTTTTCTGGCCCCCCCCCCCCCCAGCTCTCTGTCCCTTCACTTGTTTCTCTGCCTGGGTCGCCGTGGGTCTTTGTGAACATCTCCTTGGCCCTTGGGGCTCTCTCACTGTCTTCCTTCTCCATTCTTGGGCCCGGCCTGTCCCTCCAGCGGAGGAACGGAACTTCGCCGAGTTTAACTTCATCAACGAGCAGAACTCGGAGCTGCAGCATCTCCAAGAAGAGATCAAGGAGGTGGGTGAGGCCTGCCATTCCCTCCACCCCCTCTGTTTGCCTCCTCCTGCCTCTGCCTCTCCCAGCAACCAGGCCCCCCTATCGGGGCCTAGCCTTCAGCTCCCCCTTGCCTAACCGCCCTTAGTTGAAGGAGGCCCTGGTCTCGGAGCGTGGCAATGTAGAAAGCCGGCAGCAACTGCAGGAGCAACAGCACACAGCCCTGCAGCAGCGGGTGGACAAGGTGCGGGCAGAATCCCTGCAGCTGGAGATGCACTTTAGGGACCTTCGGGGAATGCTTGAGAAGCTCAAGGGTGGTGAGTGACTGCTACTGACCACTTGGAGATAGTTGAGGGCTGTGTGGGCACTTGCTTCTCAGTCCATCCAGGCATCTGTGTGGCTCTCTGGAGTCCACCTGTCCATCTTTCTATCATCCATCATCCATCCATCCATTACACACCCTCCATCCATCTGTCTGTCCATGTCCATTATCCATCCATCCATCCATCTGTATGTCCATCCATTATCCATCCTTCATCCATTCATTGTCCATCTATCCATCCATATATCTATCATCCATCCATCATTCATCTATCCTCCAGCAGTCTGTCCATCATGCATCTTATCTATATTTCCAACATCATCATCCATATCACTTTTCTTCAGTATCAGGGTGGGAACTGAGTGTTTCCCACTTGTTCAACAGCCTCTCTACCCCTTGAGCTGTGCTGAAAGGCCTTACCTCTGCTCACAGGCCTGGTACATGCTGAGCTAGGACTAACTGTGTAACAGCTCCAGACTGGCTGTATTTTATCATACCTCTCAGTGTCTGAGCATTCCAGCGCACCCTTAGTTCACCATCAGTGTGCTGGTGTGTGGTACTTCGCAATGGCCATTGTTGGCCATGTGGAACTCTGAGTTTCCTGTTCAATGGGTGTTCTCCCCCCTCCCCCAACCCAGTTGTTCTGTTATAAGGACAACTGTTGTAAGAATTCTTTGAGCCAGGCCCTGGGTCACATCTGTAATCTTAGCTACTCAGGAGGCTGAGATCTGAGGATTCTGAGGATCCAGGTTCAAAGCCAGCCCAGGCAGGAAAGTCCAGTGAATCACCAGAAAACTGGAGGTGGCGCTGTGGCTCCAGTGGTAGAGTGCTCGCCTTGAGCTGGAGTGCTCAGAGACAGCACCCAGGCCCAGAGTTCAACACACACACACACACACACACACACACACACACACACACACACACTGTTATCAGCGCCCAGGCCCAGAGTTCAACACACACACACACACACACACACACACACACACACACACACATTGTTAATAGTCCCTGTTGTAGCAGGTTGCTAAGTTGGGCTGAAATCTGGCTTGGTTGTAACTGAAGTCCTTCACCAAGCTGCTGCCTGCTTCCTTTGCTCCTCCCTACCCAAGGGTCCCCCTTCCCTGGACCATGAGCCCCGAACCATGAGGTCAGTGAATGGCACCATCTGCCTAGTACAGCTCAGTCTTTGATGGATGGTGGGTGGTGAGCAGGGCTGGTATCTAGTAAGCAGGGCTGGATCCCTGACAGCAAGTTCCCTGTCTGGCCCCAGACATCCGGCTCCTCCTCATCAAGGCGCACTGCGACAGCAGCTCCATCGACGACCGCCTGGGGGTGCGGAACATGCGGGACCGGGAGCTCATCGTCTACCTGGGCATCATCGAAAAGCGCCTGGTGGACCTGCTGACTGTGCAAGCCTTCCTGGAGTCCCAGGTGCGTGGGGTGGAGGCCCGAGGCCCTAGGGCCAGGCTGGGGGGCCAGAGCCTCCACTAATGGGGCCCCCACCATCCTTAGAGCCACACCTCCTTGGCTGACGCTGCCCTCCTGGCCCTGGGCCAGAGCCAAGAGGATGTTCCAAAGAAGGCGGTGCCACTGCAGACCCCGGACAACCTGTGAGGCCCAGGGCCCCCGGGGCTGGGGGTGGGGGGAGGAAGGGAGGCTGCTCCATGGGGGGCAGGGGACACATGTGGAGAGGATGTGAGGGAGAAGATGGGGGGTGGGGTGGGACCTTGATTTTTGAGGGAGACCAGGTGGGTGCTTCCAGGCATCCAGAAGTCCGCCCTCTAGTGGCCTGTGTGAGGAGTTGGGGCTCTGGGGAGAAGGCCATACATAATACTCTCAAACTATGGCTGATGGGGGTGGCTGGCTTTTGGGGCTCACTTTGCTGCCTGGCTCTGTACCCTAAGGGAGGACCTCCCAGGCTTCGTGGCCAAAGATGACTATCCAATGAGCAGAGAGGAGTTGCTTAGCCAAGTGGTGAAGGCGGTGAGGACGGGGGCTGAAGGTGATGGGAGGTGTGGGGGTGGTGGTGAGACAAGGCCCTGGGGTGTCTTTGGGACCCTAACTGGCCCCTGCCCCCCAGGTGGAGCTGCAGGAGCAGGCGCAGGAGCAGAGCCAGCTGGCCGAGGCCGAGCGGATGGTGACCAGTGTCCCCAGCCTGTCTTTCTCCAGCAACCGGGGTTCCAACCAAGTCCCCGGCCTGGGAGGGGCCAGAAAGTCCGATGTGATCCCTGGGTCTATCCTGAGCCACAGGGCCAGCAAAGCCCGGGGCACCAGCTCCGGTGGTCATGTCACATTTGGCATTCCGGGGTCCCCCAATACCAGCGGGACCCCTGGCTCCAGTGGAGGCCATGGTACCTTCAGAGCCGGCAGCTCTAGCAGCTACCTGGGCTCCACGGGATACATGGACTCCAGCAGAGGCCAAGCAGGCACCATCACCGGGTCAGATGTGAGTGGAGGCCTGGCCTCTGCCAAAGGCCAGTCCTCCAGCATCCCGCCTAGCTCCACCACCAGCAAAGACTCACGGGAGGATGAGTAGGGAGCCCGGCTCTTTGCGGCCGTCTTGGGTCTTCTCTGAGCCTGTGCCCTGAGACCAGTGCCATCCCCACCTCCCACGCTCTCCCAGCCCCAGCCTCCTTTGCTCTGCTCCTTAGTCATCCTGTCTCGGTGTCTCCAGCCCTAAGCCCATGTCCCACCACTGGCTCTACCTCCCAGTTGCCAGGTCCCTCTCCAAGCCTTCTCCCTAGGCCTGTGTCTTGTATATCCATGTGTCTCAGCCTCCTCATTCCTCAATGCAACCTTAAGATCCCCAGCACTGAGCAGATGAGCTGTGATTGTGGAAAATAAAGGTCAGAGCTTGACATCACCCCAGCCTGGTTATGGTGTGAGAGTGAGCTTAACACAGGGTCACAGCTTTTACCTCCAGCTCAAGAAACAATTGTGACCCTTCTGTTTCCATCCATCCACTCTTGCATCCATCCATCATCTATCTACTCATCCATCCTTCCATCCGTCTAACCATCCACTCATATATTCACCCTTCCATCCATTCATCCACTTATCCATTCACCCATCCATCCATCCATCGACCTTTCTTCCATCCATCCACCCTTCCATCCATCCATCATCTATCTACTCATCCATCCTTCCATACAACCATCTATCCATCCACTCATCTATCTACCCTTCCATCCATTCATTCACTTATCCATTCACCTATCCATCCATCCTTCTTCCATCCATCTACCCACCCATCCATCCATCTGTCCATCCACTCATCCATCCATCCTTCCTTCATATATTCATATATTCTACTCATTCCATCCACCCATCCATCCATTCACTCATCCATATATCCATCCTTCCATATACCCATGTACCATTCCATCCATCGATCCATTCATCCATCTATCCATCCACCATCCATCCATCATTCCTTCCATTCATCCTTGTATTCTTCTTCCGTCCATCCTTCCATTCATCCATCCATTTTCCATCTTCTTTCCTTCCTTCCTCCCTCCCTCCCTCCCTGCCTACTTTCTTTCTTTCTTTCTTCCTTCCTTCCTTCCTTGTATCCTTCTTCCAGCCATCTATCCTTCTTTCCATCCACTAATCTGTTTTGGGACTTTCTCATTTCTGGCTCTACTATGAAGAGTGTCAGCCAGGACAAGGCTGGGCTAAGCTGCAGTAACAAATATTTCCTCCCAGAATATGTAGCATGAATGCAGCAAAGATTTCTTCTTCTTGTGTTACATCATGGGTCAGCTTGGTGCCCAGGCTTGTGGGACAGCTTCTGCCTGGACAGACAACAGTCCCTTTCACACTGGAGATATGGCAGTCACCTTCATTATCCAGAGCGGCTCCCTTCACTGCACAGGGGCCACGGCTGGGGAGGGGCTGTGACTGGAGTCACAGGTATTGAGCAGGGGGTGGGTTTTGGGACAGGGTCTAGAGCAGAGTTGTGACAGTTTGCGCAGTCCAACCTGAAAATCAGATAACCCACTTCTACCCTCCGGACTCAGCAAAAAAGAAAAAGAAAACCAAAACAGCAACAAAGGAAAAACTTCTTTTTCCATTTCCTGGAGTTCATTTTCTTTTTTTTTTTGGGGGGGGGGTCCGGTTGTAGGGCCTGAACTCTGGGCCTGGGCTCTGTCCCTCAGCTCTTCAGCTCAAGGCTAGCGCTCTACCACTTGAGCCACAGAGCCACTTCCGGTTTTTTTCTTTTTGCTTAGGTGGTGCTGAGGAATCGAACCCAGGGCCTCATGCATGCAAGGCAAGCGCTCTACTACTGAGCCACCTTCCCAGCCCCTTGTATATCATCTTTACAATAATTTTAAAAATCTTGGGTTCTAGTGAGTTCTAAGTTGGCTCAGTGGTAGCGTGCTTGCCTAGCATGCATGAAGCCTTGGGTTCCATTCCTCAATACCACATACACAGAAAAACCTGGATGTGGTGCTGTGGCTCAAGTGGTAGAGCGCTAGCCTTGAATACAGAGAGGCTCAGAAACAGTGCTCAGGCCCTGAGTTCAAGCCCCAGGACTGGCCAAAAAAAATTGATAGGTGTCAATGAAGATCAAAACTTGTTTGAATAGCCGGGTGCTGGTGGCTCACACCTGTAATCCTAGCTACTCAGGAGGCTGAGATCTGAGGATCACAGTTCAAAGCCAGCCTGGGTAGGAAAGTTCATGAGACTCTTATCTCCAATAAACCACCAGAAAACCGAAGTGGCTCTGTAGCTCAAGTGTTAGAGCACTCGCCTTCAGCTGATAAAACAAAACAAAAAAAATTGTTTGAACCTGTGTGCAGTGTCTGATGCTTGTAATCCTAGCTATTAAGGAGGCTTAAATCTGAGGATCTCAGTTCGGGGCCAGCCTGTGCAGGGAAGTCTCTGAGCCTTTCATCACCAGTGAACCACAGAAGTGGAGCTGTTGCTTAAGTGGTAGAGTGCTAGCCTACGGGCCGGGGGCGGGGGTGGGGAAGCTAAGGGATAGTGACTCAGGTCTTGAGGTCAAGGCCTAGGACTAGCAAAAAAATAAAACAAGAAAACCTCCCCCAAATCCCAACTTGTTTGAATTTCAATAAAAATAGATAGTAGATGTACGGATTTTATTTTTTTTACCAGTCCTAGAGCTTGAACTCAAGGCCTGAGCACTGTCTTTGTGCCTCTCTCTGCTCAAGGCTAGCTCTATCAGGGCTCTACCACTTGAGCCACAGCGCCACTTCTGGCTTTTTCTGTTTATGTGCTGCTGAGGAATCGAACCCAGGGCTTCAATGCATGCAAGGCAAGCACTCTACCACTGAGCCACCTTCCCAGCCACTGTACTGATGTTTTTGCGTGTGGACACCCCAGGCCCTCAGAACGGAGAGAAAGTCTATTTCAACCATTCTATCTATATTTTTCTTTTCTGTTACAACAGACAGACTATAACAGGCAGTGTCCCAGATGCCAGCAAAGGTTTCACATTGGGTAACTGATTAGGCAGATGATTTCATTTCACATTTGCCTCAACTGTCCAGGTGTTTCTTCATAGGGTATGGGGCCAAACGTTCTCATTTTTGTCTGGGGGAGAAAGTGAACATTTTGTTTGTTTTGTTGGTCATGGGGCCTGAACTCTGGGCCTGGGCGCTGTCCCTCAGCTCTTCAGCTCAAGGCTAGCACTCTACCACTTGAGCCACAGCACCATGTCTGGCTTTTTTTGCTTATGTGTCACTGAGGAATCAAACTCAGGGCCTTGTGCGTGCAAGGCAAGCGTTCTACCACTGAGCCACCTTCCCAGCCTGAAAGTGAACTTTTAATGACACTGCAGATGCTGAAGTTTACTTTCTGACGCAGGTCTCTCGGGACAACGCTGGCCCTCTGAGAGCCTTGGCACTGACACTTAGTTATGTTAATGTGTTGATGAGCAGATTCAGGTCTGAGAGGGTTGCACTGCTGCTTTGGGCTCGTGGAAATGACATCCCATAAGGCCTGAGGTGTCCCGGGACAATGTGATGGGTGAGCCTCCATGGGGAGGCCAATCCAAGCCACTCACAGTCCCCATATATAATGGTGGCCGGTCCAATCAGCTTTCGAGGAGGCTGACTTCCTGGAGGAAAAACTCTGTGTCCCTCAATCCTCAGCCTTTATGGTGAGGTAGGAAGGCCCGCCTGTGATCCCCCTGCTCTCAGCCTGTGCTTCTGAAAATTTGTTTCTCAGTTTACCTTCTATTATATACTTATATTTACATATGTTTATATTTACATATATTTACATATACATTTATATTTATATTTACATAATGATGCTTCCCTTCCCGCCTCCCCCACCCCTTTTTTATTTACTCTGTGACACAGTAGTTTGCCTCACAGCCTGTGCTGGCCTCCCGATTCCTGATCTTCTCACCTCAGCCTCGTGTTGCTGAGATTACAGGTGAGTCTGGGATTACAGGTGAGTGCTACCATGCTCAGTTTCTTTGATGTTTGTCAGTATTGGATTTTCCTTCTGCACCTGTTTGCAGTTTGAGTGTTTTTCCATCTCTTTTTTGCAACACTGTATCTCTCTCAGCCTCAGGTATTGCTCTCATCTTGCAGTCATCTTCATTTTATTTGTGAAAAGTCAAAATTTTGATACTTTTTTGGCTTTGTTATTATTAACAAATGTAATAATAACCCATGGGAACCCAATGCCTTTTTTAATCTCTAGTGTCATTCTAGTAATCTCTCCCGTTTATTCTCAGTCCAGTAATTACTGCTTATTTGCATTTGGTAGAATTTAGTGGTGTTTGATTTTTTTTTTAACACTTCCAGTTTCTGTGTTTGTTACATCCTTCTCATTTTTTTCCCTAGTCCTGGAGCTTGAATTCAGTGCCTGGGTACACTGTCCCTCAGCTTTTTTCTTTTCTTTTCTTTTCTTTTCTTTCTTTCTTTCTTTCTTCTTTTTTTTTTTCAAATTCAAGACTGACAAATCTATCACATCCAGCTTTTTGTTAGTTAATAGGAGATAAGAGTCTCACAGATATTCCTGGCCTAGCAGGCTAGAATTTTGATCCTCAAATCCTTTGATCTTAGAGCCTCAGATGATGATGATGATGATTTTTGCCAATCCTGTGGACTGAACTCAGGGCCTGGGCACTGCCCCTGAGCTTCTTTCTTTCTTTCTTTCCTTCTTTCTTTCCTTCTTTCTTCCTTTCTTTCTTTCTTTCTTTCTTTCTTTCTTTCTTTCTTTCTTTCTTTCTTTCTTTCTTTCTTTCTTTCTTTCTTTCTTTCTTTCTTTCTTTCTTTCTTTCTTCTCAAAGCTAGCACTCTACCACTTGAGCCACAGCACCACTTCGATCCTTTTCTGTGTATGTGGTACTGAGGAATCAAACCAGGACTTCATGCATGCTAGGCAAGCACTCTACCACTGAGCCACCTTGCCAGGACCAATCAGAAGCTCAGATTTTGATTGGCTGAGATTACAGGCATGAGCCACTGGCAGCTGACTGCATGGTGGGATATTTAGGAGTGATTTTTACTTCTTTCTTCTGCCTGTCTGTAGCTCCACACCACATTGTGGGAACTAGGTTTGTTTCCCTTCAATGCACAGCCAGGTTGGGAAAGGCAAAAAGTGGCTCAAGGCACATCTTTGTGTGATAGGAGACTTCCCCTCCCCTCTCTCTTTCTTTCTTTCTCTCTCTCTCTGTGGGTCCAGTCTTGGGGCCTGAACTCTTGGCCTGGGCACTGTCCCTCAGCTCTTCAGCTCAAGGCTAGCGCTCTACCACTTGAGCCACAGCACCACTTCTGACTTTTTTCTTTTTGCTTATGTGGTGCTGAGGAATCGAACCCAGGGC